TATTATGGCCCAATGGAACCAATCAAACTTTGAAAATTGGGTCAGAACCGTAAACTTTGCGGCTAATCCACGCTGGCCTATGCGAATGAATACCTTCAAATTAAACAGTTGAAATTTGACAACGTAATGCATCTCGTCAAACACATAATGGGAGTGAATCCAACAAAATAACCTTGGAAGTAAGGAACTTCATCAGATGCAAAAGGCTGATGCAGTTGATGAATAGCTTTCTTGCCTGTCATATTCTAATCCTTGCTGCAAGCAATGTATGCCCTTACGGCGTTACATAATAAATATTATTTCTATAAACGCTAATTTTTTTATGATATATCTTTAATTTTCGACAAAATTACAAATTGTAACACAAAATGTGCCTACGTCACAAAATATTTAATTTTTGTTTAGAAAATAGCAAAGCTTTATGTTTTGTTTATTATGAAAATCGCAGAACGTTTACAATAATATAATAAATCTCAACACACATTGTAATCGTAACATTTTCGGTAATATTTCAAAATCAAAAATAAACTTTCAAACCTTAATATCTCACAATTTGTAACTAAGGCTCTTTTTGCATTGACCCCTTCACATATTACTTTTTCCAGAGCCAAATTGAACAGTATACAAAAGATAGGTTCTCCCTGGCCCAGCCCGTTATTTGTTTTAAAAGGTTCAGATTGAATTCGTACTCAACATTTGACTTTTCAAGAGTTAGTTTTGTTAATTTTACCAACTGATTTTATATTTCTAGCTCTTTCCAAAGTATTCCAATATTCCGATCATTGGGGAGGGATTTCTGTATCCATATTTCTTTTATAAGCTGCTGTATTATTATAAGCATTATCAGTATTGTGGTCACCTTTTTTTTATATAGTTCAGCTGGAAGATTATTTATGTTGGTTAATTTGTTTCTGGCTATTTTTTTTAACTGAATCTTTAACTTTAAGAATCGTTGGTGGATTCTCTTCCCTCTCGTCTGTAGTAGTAGTAGTAGTCGTAGTAGTAGTAGTGTAGTATTTTCTACTGTTTTTCCTTTTATGTTATTTGACGTTAATCGTTGCCTATTTTGTTTGTTTTAAAAAAAGTCACTATTAGGAGCATTTTAGCGTGTAGCGTGTGACTATGTTTAATGCTTTTTGTACCGTCGCCAATAGTGTTTTCAATAGGAAGTTTAGAATATTGAGTGAATGAACGAAATAGGAAATTGTAAAATATAAATTCAAAGGAAGTACGAAAACTGTTTTACTTATTCAACCAATTGGCTGGCTGGGAAAAGTAGGTCTTGAACCTAAGGCAGAAAAGAAGTATAACTCCGTTATTATTAGAGCTTTTTCGTTCTCTATCTGCATAATGCTCGAATATGTATTTTCTGGTAATTTTTTTCATTTTCTTGTCATTGGTAATTTTAAATGATTATAAAATAATTATTTTTTTTTCTATAATGGAATTCATGCAATGGTTATTACGAACCAATTACACTTTTTATTATGTCACCCTTAGGAAGGTTAGAAGGCTGAAGAAATCTACCTGGTCAATAATTATGGGCAATTGTCATGTATCTATGTACTTAATTAAATAAGTCGATTGTTAAAATATGGGAAGTGGCCTTCTGGCAGTTGCTTTTGTTTGAGATGAATATGTCCAAGGTCATAAATAATATTGTTTTTTTAATTAAAATAGGAAAAAAAATATTTTATTATTGATAATTGTGTTGTTCTTAACACGTACTAATTTTAATTATAATTGCATAATACGAAATCGAAGATTAATACTTTTGCATTGTATATGCAAATTAAACATTAATATTATACACAAAAAACAGTATATTTTTATTTTAAACGGATTATCCGTAACAAATTTTTAATAATATGTTCCAATAACTGCGGTTTTAAATTGTAAATGTTAACAATACTGAAAGAAGCTTGCTATAGCTATTATTTATTAAGAAAAATAGTAAAATTATCTTATTAACAATCATTATCTCTCTCTATACTGCATTTTCTTTATCCAAATCAAGTTTCAAACAAGTAAAGATTGAAAATCCAAAACATCATCACTATTAACTCGACAACTCTTTACGTGGGTCTTCTTACCTCGATGTATGATTTTCCGCCATACTGAACTGTTCGTTGTTTTGTTTTTCCAGTTGGTAATTTTTCAGATCTTGTTCATCTTTTCACTAATACACAAAATTGAACAAATATCTTTGTACAAATACCTTGGAGCATGGATCACAGAAGATACTGATCAGACAAAAGAAATACGATGCCGCATTGCAATTGCGCGGTCAACTTTTAATAGAATGAGAAAACTTTTTTGTAATCGCGATATCAATATATCGCTCCGGATAAGAATGCTTCGATGTTATATTTTCTCTACCCTTTTGTATGGAGTTGAAGCTTGGACACTTAAAAAATCCAACATTAAAAACCTAGAAGCATTCGAAATGTGGTGTTACCGACGCATTTTGAAAATATCATGGATTGATCGCAAAACAAACGAACAAGTTCTCTAACAACTAGGAAAACAATGCGAAGTTTTAAATTCCATTAAAATCAGGAAATTGGAATACTTGGGGCGCATCATAAGAGGTGAAAAGTACGAACTACTAAGGAATATAACGCAGGATAAAATCAAAGGTAGAAGAAGCGTAGGAAGACGTAAAATCTCGTGGCTACGCAATCTCCGTGAATGGTTTGGATGCAGTTCAATTGAACTATTCAGGCGAGTAACCAATAAAATTATAATTGCCAGAATGATTTCCAATCTCCGATAGGAGTGGAACTTAAAGAAAAAGAAAACTAATACACAACCTGGCCTACACAACCATTGACCAAGTACTTAGCTAAAACTCTACAACTTCCCGCCAAAATGCCCCATCCTTCATTAAAAATTCTATTTATTATATTTATTCATTTTATTGAACTTTTTACACAATAACCTATCTCACCTAAACATTCTGGAAACTAAATACAGTATCCAGCAAGATCACTTATCTATCATTAGATGTTGTATGTTCAACACTTATTTCATCTTCCAAAATTAACTCTATAGGCAAATAAATGGTGCTCCAATGGGTTTCGCACTAGCTCCAGTAATTGCTAATTTCTTTATGAAAAACTTCGGAACTTTTCCTAAACCCACACATCCCAATCGTTACTTGCATACCAACTCCCATCATCGACTTTTACAAATAAATTTAATCATTAATACCTTTATCTCTAGATCAATACGGCTTTGCGATTATGAAAGTAGACCCACTGAGCTCTTCACTTTAAAATAAGCCCTTATTCAAAATAGTTACCGTAAAAACCATATCAAAAGAGGCATCCGCAGACATCAATCTTCTACTTAATCTTAATCTAAAGATTCAGACCCTCATTATACAAAAGCTTTCCTTCCTTACTTTAAAGGTATCACTGAAAAAATCGACAAACTCCTTAAATCAAGAAGAATAAAGGCAATATTTATCACCCAATTAAAACGTTTTTCTCTTATCCGATCAATCAAAGAAAACATTATAACAGCGATACGGGCCACGTAGCTTCTATAAACTTGGTTATTTTCCTCCATTTTTTCGGTCCCTTGCTTTCTCTCTCCAATTTCTCACGCCTCTTTCTGACAAGTCTTGCTTTACTGCTTTCAACCATTTCTTCTTTGGACCTTCTCTCCTTTTTCCTCATTTCTCCCTCCATCAGTATTGTTTTAACAATTCTATTCTCTTGCATTCGTATAATGTGAATGAGCCATCTAGCTCTTTGGGCTCGTATTTTTACCGTAATTGCTGGTTTTCATACATCCTCATTATTTCTTTATTCATTTGTCTTCTTCAAATATTCTCTGCCGTCTTTATTTTCCGAAGATTTTTCTGAGCACCTTTCTTCCAGATCTCTACCTTCTTTTCTTCCTGCTGGTTCATAATCCACGTTTCACTGGCATAAATCTCTGTGGGTCTTGTTACTGTCTCGTAGACTCGCAAGTTAGCTGTTCTTGGTACATTTTTTGCTTTCAGTAATAAATTTAGTGACCCTATCGCTTTGCTTCTCTTCATTAATCTTTTGTCTATCTCTTTTTCTTCCTTTCTTGTGTTCATTATGATTACTCCTAAGTATTCAAAATCTGACACTTTTTCAAAACTATAGACAGTCTCTGCTCCTTTTAGTTTGATATATTTGTTATTATATGTTATGTCTCCTCTCATTTCCATGTATTGCGTTTTTGTTTGGTTTATTATTAGTCGGTATCTTTTCGCTTCTTCTTCAAATTTCTGGATGTTTTCTAAATGTTTTTTTTTTAGTATTACCACATCATCCGCTTACGCTAAAAACTGTTTTCCTGTTACTGAAAATGGTCCTGTTTGTGCTTATATTTATTCTTCTTACGATGTGTTCTAATACTTAGTTGAATAAATTCGTTGATAGCGGATCCAAAGCAAAAGTAAAAGATCGTCGTCATCTTCTTCTTCCATCAAAAGATATAACATTATTTCATCGTTAATGCTGTTGTCGCTGTTTTGTAGATGCAGTGCAGTTCTGCTCGGAATTGGTCTGACCGCAGACGACACTGTCGCTGCAGTCTGCGGTTTGCGGTCTGCAGTCTGCAGCTACTTTCGGAATTTAACCTTTAGAGTTTTTTTTTAATATATCTGGATAACATTGCTATAGTAACTTTTTTAATTTGATATATTTGGAAGGTATGGTAACTACAATACATTTTAATTAAATGAAATCTTATACTGAACAATTTTCAGTGAATAGGTTAAAGTAAAAAAGTAAAAGATTTTACTTACTATGTAGTGAGATGATCACGCCTATATTCCATTCCCATGGCAGGATTTTATCATTTTTAGAGGTTTATTGAACATACGAATTAATTAAATTCCATAAACGTCTTAGTCCCTTTACGCTTTTTTTTATAAAATAATAAAGTCATCAATATAGTTATTAAAAATAATAATATAACATCAAAATGAGTAATAATCTCATTTTTTTTTATTTCAGACCCGTATTACCATCAGTACAACCTGGCTATTTAGGAGAACTATTACCTAAAGAAGCTCCACAAACTGGAGAATCATGGCAAGATGTCCTGCAGGATGTAGACAGAATCATTATGCCAGGCCTCACCCACTGGCACTCTCCAAGATTTCACGCTTTCTACCCAACTGCAAATTCATTTCCAGCTGTTGTTGGGGAAATGTTAAGTGCAGGATTCGGATGCGTTGGATTAAGCTGGGTAAGCATAAGGTGTATTATATGTAATCTTTACAATAATAGTGTGATGATAACGTGGTGTTACAAATCATAACAAATAATGCGTCCTTATGCTGCGTGTGGGTAGGCTTGTCTAATTACATTTCTTTAAACGTTTCTATCTTAGGTCATACCAATATGCATTTAGATTACCAATTAAATTAATCAAATGCATGAAAGCATCATCATCATCATCATTATCATCATCCAGCCTATATTTATCGCGTCCACTGCTGGACATATATCTTCCTTTAACTCCTCTATTCTTTGCGATTTTGTGCTATTTGTTCACAATTTTTGGTGATGTCGTCAGCCCAACGTGTATGTGGTCTTTCTCTACTACGTTTGTCCTCTGGGCCTCCAATGGACGAGCAAAATTACACATTGGAGGCATGAAACTGTGGAGAGATTTAAATAGCTAGGATCGGCGGGAAATAAAGGCAACCATTATAAAATTCAGGGAATTATAATAATGTACCCTGTTACATACGTAGGAAATTTTAACTTCAAATTAGGGTCATCTAGCGAAAATACTGAAGGAGTATTGGATAGCCATCGTTTGTGGCAGATAAATGTGAGTATTGACTATTTTGTGGAGTTCTGTTTAGAGCATCATATTGCTCTTTGCAACTAGAAACACGTTTTATCAGCTTCACCGACATAGATTGCATAAAACGCGTGGCACAGATGAGTGAACAAGAAATCAAATGTATTACATGCTTATAAGGTCGAGTAAATTATAGAACTTGAATTGTAAATTATACCCGCAGAAGAATTAGAAGAAAAACTTTCTTTAAATCAAATAATTAGTCATCTTGAAACACTTGGTTTTATCTCAAAGAGAAAATAATCGAGACTGCAAAAAAATATACGACACCAGTTTTCACAAACCGCAAGCCCTGGATAACAGAAAATAACATAATATTAGATTTAGAACAAATGAAGAATACAGAGTGTTGGCTAAAGAAATAAGATATAAGAAGGCAATGCCGCAAAGACAGATGTAACATTACATCTAACAAATATGCAGAGAATAAACGAACATGGTTGTCAGAATGAACCAAGAATTTTATTTCAATAGATTAAACTTCTTACCAGAGAGTTTAAACGTCACATGTGGTCTATAATGGATAAGGAAGATAATTATCAAAATACTTGTATTGAAGAAATATTGGAAACTTAGCAAAACTATTTTTGCGATTTATTGATTAGTTGGTTATATAGAAATAACGAGACTCCAGCAGAAAGTCTTTGATCACCCTAGAGATTCACTGTCTTACTCTCTGAAGTAAAATATGAAATTAGATCACAAACAGAAAGAAATACTGCAGTCACTAGATGACAAAGGATTACACATTATTTATTATATCTGTGTCCGATTAATGGTTGGGAGGATTAAAAAGAATATGCCATCTGAGATTGTCTCTGTTTATCCAGTCCATTAATCCGATGCCGTTTGAAGTTTTGACGTATAAGTTGGGCGGTCCTCTTATCTTGGTACTTGAGGCAGCTCGATGTTGCTCAGGACCAGCAACCAAAAGAGTGAAGTAAGTGAGGACAATTATTTCCATCACCCTGACCTGTTGTAGTTCCCTGAATATGAAGCGTTTTGCTATATATCTTGGCATGTTGACAGCTTTTCTTAGTCAGCTGTTGCGAATTCCTTGAGTCCTATTCTTTGTGGTGTTACAGAGTGTCCCTATGCGAGAGATGCATATGTAAGTATCGGTAAAATGATACTATTTATAAATCTCATGATGAAGGTAATGTACAGACGGATTTGGACAAGGTTATTGATGTTTGGAGGGCGTATTGTAAGTCTTTATACGCCAATACGGACCAGATGCCAGCGGACGCCCCGTTTGTACCTGACTGCCAGACCTCCACTTTCCATTCTCCTTCAACAGAGACACACCACACTAGTTTTGAGTCTGAACCTGACATACTTTTTTTCGAGGTGAAATTCGCTTTAAAAAGACTTAAGTTAAACAAAGCAGCAGGATATGATCTCATTACTGCAGACGTCTTGAAGCATCTTCCGGAATGTGGAGTGAAAATATTACATCGATTGTGCAATGAAATATGGCACACAGGCGTCTGGCCTGAGGATTGGAGAAAGACCATAATCATACCTCTTCATAAGAAAGGTTCAACAAATAATTGTAACAACTACAGGCTATTAGCTCTAATATCACATGCCAGTAAGGTGATCCTCTACATACTGCAACGGCATCTAGAAAACTTCATAAGTTGGCAAATAGCACCTGAGCAGGCTGGATTTGTAAAGGGCAGAGGTACTAGAGAACAAATCCTTAATGTACGAAACATCATAGAAAAAGCCAGAGAATACCAGATCCCGATATTTATATGTTTCGTCGATTATACAAAGGCCTTTTATAATGTTAGATGGGACAAACTATGGAACATATTGACGACAATGGGTGTACCTAAACACTTGACTCACCTTATTAGCAAACTGTATCAAGATAACCTGGCATATATTCGAATGGACGGATATCTGTCTGACAAATGCACTTTGGAGAAGGGAGTACGCCAAGGATGCGTTTTATCTCCCTTATTATTTAACATCTATTCGGAGTTCATAATGCGCAGAGTTTTGGATGGTTGGGAGGGGAGGAGTAAACCTAGGTGGTGTTAAGATATCTAACTTGCGTTTCGCAGACGACACTACACTTCTAGCTTCTACTCCAGAAGAAATTACTAAATTATTAAAAAAACTCGAGGTAGAAAGTGCTAAATTTGGACTCATGGTTAACTACAACAAAACCAAAATCATGGTTATTGATCGCCAATAACAGTTTCCTGAAACCCAAACTATTGCGGGATGCGAGGTAGTCTCATCTATGATATATCTTGGAGCTGTAGTAAACAACACAGGCAGTTGTGAATCCGAAATTAGAAGACGCATTCAACTAGCAAGAGCAGCAATGAGTGAACTAAACGGGGTCTGGCGTGATCGTCACATTACTATGACAAACAAAAAGAGACTCGTTTCAACTCTGGTCTTTTCCATATTTTACTATGCATGCGAGACATGGACAGTCAAAGAATCAGATCGACGACGTATAGACGCCTTTGAAATGTGGACATGGAGACGCCTGCTTCGAATTCCATGGACGGCTCGCCGTACAAATATTTCGGTTCTGGATGAAATTAAAGTTCTTTGGCCATATCCATCGAAGTGATCACAAAATGGAGCGGTTGGTGGTCCAAGGAAGGCCTCAGACTCAACGCCAACGCGGAAGATCTCCACAGCGATGGGCGGACATTACTAAAAAGCTTCTTAATAAACAGTATACTAAGGCAATACATATAACTGATGACCGCGACCAGTGGAGAAATATTATCAATCAAACTGTCCGAGCTGCCGAAGCCCAATTATGAACCACAACACATCTACTAAGATGTTAATGACTGTGATGATGATAAATCTCATTTTAGTTTTAGTCATCGGTTTGCTTTTTCTATCTGTGGGTCCTCTGATAGATGTTTTGTCCATGTAGGCTTTTTGCACTATGGGGTCTACGTGTTTTTCGAATGTAAGTCCTGAGAATCATGACTCCTATGTATTTTGCCTCGCTTTTTCATTCGATGGAATTGTTCTGCACAATAAGTTGCTTATCTGGCTGCTAAAATCTCTTTTTGATTGATACATTCCTCTATTTTGTCCAAATCTGTTTGCAGGTTGTTAACTACTATGTCTACATTTCGGCGCTTGGCCGCTATTGCAGTGTCGTCGGCACACAGGCTTAATAGATTTTTCCAGTTTTGGCTACGGTGTTGTTGTAGCGCTGTTTTGACCTGTCGATTTAGTCTATTTTCCCTGTTTTTATCTATTTGGTTTCTTATCCTCTTCTCCTCCTTCTAGTTTTCATTGCTATGTACGGCATTTTATATTTTCGGCCGGAGCTCCATTTCTAAAGCGCATCGATGGTAGTAACCAATTTTTGTAATTGAAGGGCGTGCATGCATACAGAGAGCAAGCGATCAAGATTTTCAGAGGCGTAATCGTTACAGTATGCGACATTCCTTGAGTAGATATAGCAAAGTTAAGTAGATATAGCAAGAGGCAACAAATGATTAAACTATGGAATGAAGAAAACAAGAAAATTGGTTATAAAAATATTTTTGGAAATACTTTAAATGCTAATAATGATAGAATGGTTATTTGTTATATGTACATTGTTTGATATATTTTTTATATACAGTAATATCAATAATTTCATTAGCCAAAGGTTGATGAATCATTTTTTTTTTGCAGTAAGGATTGGTTAGATTTTCGAGATTATTGGCTGTTATTTTGTTTAACAGAAATGTATTATATATCCTGTATGTTATTACCCATTTATTTCCTAACTCTTGCCTTCGAACAAATATAGGAGGGTCTTGTGCTTCAGCTAAAATTCGGTGATTACCTCATTGCAGCTAAACAAATTTTAATACATCTGTTATATTCTATCTATCTAACTCACATTAATTAGTGCTTAAGAATGAACCATATAATGTACACTTCAAGATATTTACGTCAGGTATGGTAATATTATGAGGTACACTTTATCTATTTATTTCTTGTAAAACACATGGCAGCTAATTTTTCTGGAGCTACGCTAAATCAAGGTTTAATACAATACCTAATGTTGTCTTTATTAATTCTAATTTATTGTCTTTATTATTTATTAAAGGTTCTATACTTATAACACTCACAAATTTATTAAAGTCTATATTACTACTAATTTATTTTACACTTAATAATTATATAATTTATCTTTATTTATAATACGTGCGTTACAATTCAAAACGCAGCGCGATCTCCAAAAACTAACTGTCCTTTTCAACAGAATTCCTTCTTTAAATATAAAACTCCGTTAGTTTCGGTATCCCCTAGAAGCAGAAATGAATTGACTCGAACATTGGGGAAGACTGGTGGTGCCGGTGTTGACAAGAATTGCCTCGAATTAACGGGAACTTAGGCTGGTTTTTTTATCGGAAGGGGACCCATCGGTTATTTCCAGCGTCTCCGCCGGCCGGTGCGTAATCTAGAAAATACTTGAATAGAAAAGATATTAGTAAAATATGTTTACAGTTCTGAGCCACATGATGCGTCATCATCTATTGTAACACTAATATATCGTTACCCTTCAGCATTTTTATGTGGGTTTTCATAAACACAAATATCAACAGTATATTGTACAACATTAATGGTGCCATCAAACAGTTCATGCAATATTGCCGAATAGATATTAAAAAGACCAGGACTTAAAATAGAGACACGTGGTTATTATTATTGCCAATACACGCCTGTATCATAGACTATAAAAACGTAATAAAATACAAGAAGATTTCAAATATTCGTTTGTTAGAAGAGGAAATTTCTAAAACCTGTAATAAATAAGAAGACATTTCTACTAAAACCTTAATTAATACCAAAAAAACATTATTTTTTTATATCATTGCCTTATTTAGCTTTTAATATAAGTATATTACATTTTTTTAGATTGCAAGTCCAGCATACACGGAATTGGAAGTTGTAATGATGAACTGGCTAGGAAAATTAATAGATCTTCCAGAAGAATTTCTTAATTGTTCCGAAGGACCTGGAGGAGGAATTATTCAGGTATGGTATGACATATTAAAAAGTCAAACGATGTGTGGTGACGTTAATACAAAACTACTTAAATTTTAACACATTATTATTTTTATTTTCTCCTATTGCTCTTCTGTTGTTATTTTAAGTGATTTAATCTAGATATTTCCACGCATTACTTCGGTTTAATAAAACTTTAGATAATTCTTAACTTTACATCGTACGCAGATTAATATTTAACTCTCTCAACTGTTTTTAAGTGAATGAAATGGGCAAATGTACAGGAAAATGACCGAAACATAAATAACATGAACATGATGTTCACTGCAATTGATAAACTAGTGAATTTTTATAATTTTGTTGGATGTATTAATTGACAATTATAGTTTCGCATTTAATTAATACAGATTCTAACGTTCGTCTCTGGATATTTGTAAAAAATGTTTCTAAAGAGTGCTAAGTTTCTGCAAAAGTATTTATACCTTGAATATTTAGTTTAATTATTATTTAATGAGAGTTTTAAATGTTTACATGGGCAGTATAGTACGTATAGTAGCCGATAAAATAGCAGCTGTCTTAATAAATGGTGAGCGGAACCCCCATCGCCATATATCGATGGGACTTATTTGAGGGAGTTCTTCTGAAGTTTAAAGAAACAGGCAGTATTCAAGGTGTCAAACAATCTGGTATATATAAAATTGTGATTCAAAAAAATGGCTCAATTGCAGGAATGATAGTAAACCCTACTTCTTCTACAACCCAAGTTGTGTTTATCTGTCAAATTAGTCAAAAGGAGAGTATACCAAGTGTAAACTAAGAACAAATTTCATCCATACAAATTAAAAATTGGGCACCAAATTTCAGATGATGACCTTGACCAAAGACGAAATTTGTGAAAATATATTCAATCAAATTAACCAACATGCAGATATAAAAATAATTTGTTTTAGTGACGAAAGTACTTTTTTCCTCAATGGAAATGTTAAAACACACAATGGGAGGTATTGAAGTGACACAAATCCTCACGTGTTTCGTAAAAACCGTACTCAATTTCCAGAAAAACTAAATGTTTGGCAGGTATTTTGGAAAACCACACGTTTGGGCCTATTTTTCTTTCAATTCTGAAATAATCGGTGAAGTGTCTGGAGATGTTATAAAACGCAATTGAGCCGCTAATTCTTGAAATTCTGGAAGATAATCAAGATGAAATCGGCAACTTAGAAATAAAATTTCAACAAGATGGTGCCCCTGCACCCTATTATGGTGCAGTAAGATGTTACATAGATGAGGAACATCGTGATAGATGGTTTGGGCCACGAGGTTTGATAGAAGGATCAGCTCTGTCACCAACCCTCATACCATTAGATTTTTTTCTATGGGAGTATTTAAAATCTAAGGTTAACGCTACAGTACCCGACAGTATTGACAGTTTTAAACAAAAAGAATTGTTAAAAAATGTAAGCCAATTTCCCCCCACATTTGAATGAGTACGACAAGAGTTTAGCAATAGGAAGCATTACTGTCAAGAAGTGGATGGAACACATTTTGAACACTTAATATAAGAACTGGTTTTTAAATCTTTATTAATTAAACGCAAAACTACAATTTTAGTATTTATTTACTTTATTCATCAAAATCGGCTTAAACGCAAATAAAATGAGCATGATTAAATAGGTATTGTGTCCTTGTATTTTCCTTCGATGTGCTCTTCTAACTATTGACCAATAATATTGAGATCAAGAAAGGGGTACGACAGGGCTGTATCTTGTCTCCTATTCTCTTTAATATATACCCAGAAGAAGTATTTAGGACAGCGCTGGAGGAAAGCACAGAAGGCATAAAGATAAATGGAGAAATAATTAATAACATAAGGTATGCTGATGACACTGTGATTCTAGCAAGTAGCATGGAGGGACTGAGTTGCCTAATGAATAAGATACAAAAAACAAGTGCACAATACGGACTCAGACTAAATATTACAAAAACCAAATGGATATTAGTAAGCAAAACCCAACAACCACCACAGCAACTGATATTAGACAATGAAAGAATTGAACACGTGGATTCGTACATCTTCTTGAGAACAACAGTTAACTCAAAATTGAGTTCAAGCGAGGGAAACACGTATAAGAGTAGAAAAGGCAAGAGCATCGCTCACTAGCATGAAGCAAATTTTCACCTCTAAAAGCCTCACCCTACCTCTCAAAATTCGACTTCTGAAATGGTATGTATTTCCGGTTTTGTTATATGGAATGAAGGCGTGGACAATGACCGCAATATTGATGAAAAAAGTAGAGACCTTCGAAATGTGGGCTTACCGACGTATATTGTTGGAATACTTGGGTCACGTTATGAGACATAATAAATATAGAGTACTACAGCTGATCGTTCAAGGAAAAATAGACAGCAGAAGGGGTCTAGGGAGTAGAAGACACTCGTGGCTCGAAAACTTGCGGCAATGGTTCGGATTGTCATCTGTTGAACTATTCAGATCTGCCGTAAACAAAGTCAGAATAGCCATGTTGATTGCCAACGTTCAGAACGGACAAGGCACATGAAGAAGAAGAAGTGCTTTTCTATTAATTATTCGTCTATTTCGTTTTAGGAATAACGCTGTGCATTTGTCTGATAGAAATAATCTGTACTTATGTATATATACTTTCTTAAGGAATATACTATAACTTTTCGAGACTGGCTGTGACGCCATCTATGACTATTACCTCACCTGTTATGACTAGTTAAGAAGCATACGTCAGTTTATTACCTTCCTTCAAATATCATTTTTATAAGTATAACCGTTCAAAAGATACGAGGAGGGAAGGAACTCTTGACTAGCACTGTATAGTTGGTTATTTTTCTTTATTTTTCCGGTCCTTATACTGAAAGTTATGTATTGCATAAGTGTATGTATTGTATAAATCTTTTGACGCAATTTATATTCACATTTTGTCAGTGTAGAATCGTCATTTGGTCAAGTTTTCACACAACACTTCGCCTGTTTGGCTGTTAAAATAATTTTCAGAAGCAGTATCAATTTAGTACTCAAGGCGTGTCTTTGCGCTGGTCGAAATCATGTAAAAAATTCGGATATATCTAAAACCAGTATTCAGAATATATTTTATATAAAGTAAAAAGTGTATTTAAGATTGTATAATAACGTACGGCTGCGTTGGGCCTTTCTACGTTAAAGTTTTCATTATAAACTGTTAGATCACAAGTGTTTTATTTCTCTGGAGTTGTATTTGCTCACCAAACGGATCCTCATGATTTAACGGTCACTGTAAGAAACCCTACTTATGGAGATACATCCATCAAAAAGTCCTTTGAAGTGAGGCTTGAAAGCGAAAGAATTTCAACGCTCTTATGTAAGTAGCCAAGTTAAAAGACCACCTGCACCACGTTCCGCTACCATACATCACCATAATTACTGTCTTGTAGACTCATAGATTATGAGCATTTTTGCTTTCAGTATTGAATTTAGTGACCCTATAGTAAACTTTTGTTTACTGGTCATTAGAAACATTTAAAAAATAAAAATATAAAACTTACAGTAAAGCTCAATATATAAAAGACTTTAATAAGACTGGTTTTGATATATGGACTGCTCCGTATTATTGAATAGAGTCCTGTTATTTGTGGTCATATTTGGTCTTATTACGATTTGTTCTAATACTCTTTCTTTTTCTTCTTCGGCCTAAGGTAATCCAACTTTGTACATAGGTCTCTATTTTGCGAGACTTGCTTCTTTTTGTGTTCTTCGATCTTCTTAATGTCATCAGCCCATCGCGTTTGTGGTCTTCCTTTGCTTCTCTTTCCTAACCATGGTCTCCATTGTTGTATTTCGTGGTTTCATCTTTCATTCTTCAGTCGGGCATTGTGTCCTGCGAAGCTCAATTTTAATTTGGCAGCATGTTCTCTTGTGTCTTTTACTTTGGTTTTGCTTCTAATCCATTTGTTGGTTTTTTTGTCTATAAGTCTCACCCAGAGCATTGATCTTTCCATCGTCTTTGCGCTTTTACTATTTTATCCATATTAGACACGGTGAGTGTCCACGTCTGTCAACCATACGTGAGTATAGGGAGGATACACTGATCGTAAATTCTGGTTTTCAAATATTGTTCTATTTTAGTGCTTTTCAAGATCCAACTCAGTTTTCCAAATTTTGCCCAGGCTAACCTTATTCTTTTGATAACTTCAGCAGTTTGATTTTCTTTGTTAACTTTCAATATCTTCCCCAGGTAGATGTATTCGCTTACTGTTTCTAAATTTATGTCGTTCAACGTTATTTCTCTAATGTTCGGTCTATTTGTCATTATTTTTGTCTTTCCAAGTTCATCTTAAGATCTACTTTTTTGGAAGCTTGAAATAGTTGCGTTATCATGGTCTATAGTCCTTCGAAACTTACATATTACAATGTGATCAGCGTATCTCAAATAACTCAGTTTTCTTCCATTAAATATTTATTCCTTTATCTGACCAGTTAATTTAAGACCTAATTTAGACCTTTTTGGTATTTTTGCTGTAGCTTTCTTGTAACTATTATGTCTTGTGTTCTAATACTAATAAATTCGTTGATAGGGGATTGGGGGTTATTTAGACCTATATAGGCTGTGAACTGCCTTGAATTTCTTCTATTTCTCGTGTTCGTAAGCGTCGTTCTCACTAGCCTTATAAGATTTTCTGGTATTTCTAATGTTATCATGGCCTCATCCTGCGGAGTAACAGTAATATTACCTGAAAATAAAAATATTTATTCAGTAGATAGTGGAATAAATAGAAAAATACACCGAATGTATAAAAAAATAGGAACTAACTGTCACCGATGAAAAGAAAAGACTTAAAGATCTTTAAAATTACTTTGCATTTCTTTCTAATCATCCACCATGCATCTTTCTAGATTATTTAAAGCTTTTTTGACATTTTACATTTAACTTATTATATTTTTTCAATATAAGGTTGAATGTTCGAATAAATGAACTTTGATGGTACACAAGGCAAATATCGAACACAGTAGTTAATCAAATCTTGCCCAAGTAATTTCGTGGGCATTTCGTCAGTTGTGGCCTATCCAGCAGTAATAGAATGTTATAAATGTAAATTGGGACATAACAAATACACTAAACAAAGACAAACAAACACTTTAAAATTTAAGAAATGGAGAAGCTACATTTTATATAGAAGCCGGAGACAGAATTCTGTCTAAATCTATATAAAATGTAGCTTCTCCATTTCTTAAATTTTAAAGTGTTTGTTTGTCTTTGTTTAGTGTATTTGTTATGCCCCAATTTACATTTATAACATTTTATTACTGCTGGATAGGCCACAACTGACGAAATGCCCTGAGGATGATCTTGTGATCGAAAGTACTTGGGCAAGATTTGATTAACTACTGTGTTCGATATTTGCCTTGTGTACCATCAAAGTTCATTATTTTTTTTTGACTATTAATCAATCTAATAATGATAATTATAATGACTAAAAATATTAATGTGTATAAATGTGTTTTTAGGGATCAGCCAGTGAAGTCACCTTTATTGGACTTCTAGCGGCCAAAGAGAAAAAAGTTAAAGATTTAATGGAACAGAATCCCCACCTAAAAGAAGCCGATATTAAAGGAAAACTGATAGCGTACACCTCAGATCAATCTAATTCTTCTGTCGAAAAATCAGGATTATTGGGATCAATGCCAATGCGGCTTATACCTGCAAATGAAAAAGGTCAACTAACAGGAAGTGCTCTTCTCGAAGCGATCCAAAAAGATAAAGAACAAGGACTTATTCCTTGTTATGTTGTAGCTTGCCTTGGAACAACGCCGACGTGTGCCTTTGATGACCTAACAGAACTAGGACCCATTTGTAACAAGGAAAATATATGGCTTCACGTAGATGCAGCGTATGCTGGGACAGCTTTTGCCTGCCCGGAATATCGGTACTTAATGAAAGGTGTTCAATTTGCAGATTCCTTTAACTTCAATGCTCATAAATGGATGTTGGTTAATTTTGATTGTTCGGCAATGTGGGTTAAAAATGCTAAATACTTGGTTGAAGCTTTTAATGTCCAAAGAATTTATCTCAAAGATAATCACAAAGGCCTCGCCCCGGAGTATCGACATTGGCAAATATCTCTCGGAAGAAGATTTAGAGCTCTGAAGTTGTGGTTCGTTCTAAAGATTTATGGCATTGAAGGCATTCAAAAGCACGTTCGAGGTCAAATAGCGCTAGCCAAACATTTCGAAGATCTAGTTAATACGGACTCAAGATTTGAGGTTTGTACTTCTAGCATGGGGCTAGTAACTTTTAGAATTAAAGGACCTAACTCTCTTTCTGAACAACTTTTAGAAAAGCTTGACCAAAGAAAAAATATATTTGTTATTGCTGGACACTTTCAAGAAAAGTTCGTTATTAGATTCGCCATTTGCAGCCGATTAACTAATGCCATTGACGTCGAATTTTCTTGGGAAGAGATTAAATCACAAGCTGACGAAATTTTACCCAGTGACAAAACTCGTATAGCAATGGAGATGAGTGATAAACGAAGTATTTCTTCCATCGAATTTTCCGATACGGCTATTGAGAATAGTAGAATGGAGAGATCTAAATAATTTTGTATGTAACGTTATAGTAATATTGTAAATAAATTTATTTATTTTAAGAACATTTAGATTCGTCAATAAATGTGATAAAAAATGTAGTGTTTATTTTTTCCTAAAGTAAATCACGAATATTTCTCTTTGTCTGTTTTTTATTTCGTCACTAGCTGACACAGCAAACTTCGTACAGTCTTAGAATTACATAATTTGTCAAAGTTCATTAACAAAAATTAATAGAAAACCAAAAATTCCCAGAAACATTGTGTACGAAAAAAGCTTGCTAATAAACAATAAACAACAGATAGTGCGCAAGGGCTTCAAAGGATGATGGATAATGTTGTAGAAACTGTAGAAACGTAACAAATACGGTCTAAAACTAAATTGCAAAAAGACCAAAATAATGATCATTAGTAAGAACACCGGCATAAACGCCCAAATTACAAGTAACGATACACGCATCATCCACTGTAGAATCAGAGATAAATGTGAAAAAGATCAGGATGAAACACAATTTGGCTTCAGAAATGGACTGGGAACTCGGGACGCCCTCTTTGCACTAAATGTATTACTGCAGAAATGTCGAGATCAAAGGAAAGACGTCTTTGCTGTATTTATTGACTATGAAAAGGCCTTTGATCGAGTACAGCATCACAAATTAATTACAATATTAAAAGATAAAGGAGTTGATAGTCAAAACATACGATTCATAGAAAAGTTATACTGGCGTCAAACAGCGACAGCTTGCATAAACGGAAAATCAACAGAAATATGTAAAATACAAAGAGGTGTCAGACGGGGTTGTATACTATCCCCACTGTTATTTAATTTATATTCAGATAGAATATTTAAAGAAGCGCTGCATAATTTGGAATGGGGCGTGAAGGTTAATGGAATTCTGATAAATACAATCAGATATGCAGACGATACAGGTATTTTAAGTGATGACATGAATGGATTACAATGCCTTTTAAATGCCATTGATACAGTGGGAAGAGAGTTTGGCCTAAACAAAAACTGTTTAAAAACAAAACACATGGTGTTTAGCCGTTTAGCACATCAAGATGCACGATTATATGTTGATGGTCATATAATTCAAAGAATGTCCAGTTTTAAATATCTTGGTTGCCATATTACTGAACAACTAGATCCAGATTAAGAGATAAAATGTAGAATCGAGATAGCCCGCACGACATTTTTAAAAATGAGGTCATTCTTCTGTAATGGTTAAATGGTTAAATGCTACATTTGGTCAGTCCTCTTATACGGTGTCGAAGCATGGACATTAAAAATATCCACCATTATTTGTCTAGAGGCCTTTGAAATGTGGCTGCACAGACGTATACTAAAAATCCCATGGACGGCTATGCTGATAAATGTGGCAGTCCTTGAGAGAGCAAATGCTGCTCGTGAGCTGCTTGATAACATTAAATGTAGAAAGATGGCCCATTTTGGACAAGTAGTAAGGGGAGACCGATATAATATTCTTTAACTTATTATGATGGGTAAAATCGAAGGACGCAGAGGAATTGGTAGAAAGCAGGCCTCTTGGTTGAAGAATATCAGAGAGTGGACAGGAATAAAGAAAGCTGAGCAACTCTTTAGAATAGCTCGAGACAGAGGCAGCTTCGCCATGTTAATCGCCAACGTCAAGGGAACTTGATAGGGCACGTTAAGAAGAAGATAGAAAAAGCCAGAAGCTCTTTCAACAGCCTTAGTAAGATTCTCTGCAACTTATCTTTAAGTATCAATATACGCATAAAAATTCTTAGATGTTATGTCTTTAGTGTCCTCCCCTATGGAGTATAAAGCTCAAGCCTTACAGAAGATGCCATAACAGGATTAGAGGCATTTGAAATGTGGTGCTACCGACGTATGTTGAGGGTCTCATATATACACCACACAAGTAACATAACTATTCTACAGAGGCTAAGAAAAGACAAAGAAATTATTAACACCGCAAAAAAACAGAAAATTGGCTTACTTCGGCCACATCATGCCTAATGATAAATACCGACTTCTACAGTTAATTCTACAAGGCAAGATTGAGGGTAAGAGAGGTCCTGGATATAGACGTATAACCTGGCTGGTCAATCTTAGGAAATGGACTAGTCTAACGTCAAGTGATCTATTTCGAGCTGCTGTGAATAGAATAAGATAGGTTAATGTGGTCCTCAGCATCTTTAGAAGATAGGCACATTTAAAAGAAGAAGATAAACAATACTTTTGGTCTCCTTTTAATATGCGTAAATATACAACGATGATGATTTTCCGACGAGAAACCACGTGTCATATAATTGTCTATGCGTAAAACATGGAAACTCCTAGTTGATTCCGCAAACAACAGTCCGTAATGTTACAGTATCGCCAAAAACTGACCCAAGAGGAGATATAGCAAGTGACCACAAAAATATAATTCTTCTTTTTGTGTAGACATGACTCTGTTTTTCAATGTGCTTCCAGTAACTTGAAAACTAAAAGAAGACAAAAAAAGAGTTAAAAAAATTAGAGAGAAGAATATCAGTGTTTTTAAATACCAATTAGATATTCCAGAAACCCAAAGCAAAAATAAACAGTATAAAAAGAGATAAAAGTAAAGTTTTTTGGGAATTTAAACCGATAAAGGATCAAAAAGCCAGAAAAACTTAAATTGATTACACAGACATTATATGAAAATAAATGGTAAACTTATTTAAATACAAGATGTTTACATTATAATGTCAACCTGACATCTCTTGATCATAATGGTAACCATTATCGATCGACATATTATATAGAACTCTGCTACGTACAGAAATTGCTCACTCCAAATACACCCTAAACACTATACGTAGTAGAGCCCTGTTGCGTATTATTGTAGACTACTTTACCAACCCCAAAATACATGACAGTTGCCTATAAAAAATATTTTCACTGAAAAAAGAGGTCTCTAAACGATATATAATTTCAAACTTTATGTTTTCTAGAAGAGAATAACAAAGGCTTACAGTGTTTTTGGTGCAATAATGTTCAGAGCTGATTTTAGTTATATTTGGGGTATTGATTCCGAATATGGCTTTAGTTTTGTCCTATCAGATCTAGTATTCAAGATAACATAGATCATTCCAGCTTTTATGTATTAAAATACGAATATGCTGATATGGATATACTAAATTGAAATAAAAATCACACAATTAGAAAAAATGTATATTTTAAGCCATTTGACTACAATAAAACCCTTTGTACAATGAAACAGATATTTAATTAGTTTTGAGAAAAAAACTAACAAAATAGAAAACAATCTTTTACTTGACGTAACGAAAGCTTCGCTTGCGTGATTTTTTGAAATGAACTTTTAAAAAGTCTCTCTTCAAACTCCAGCAAAAATCTGCCATCATATAAGTGTCCATCTTCCTTGGTAGCGATCCTCCATGGTTTTTATGTCTTGGTGAAATCTCTCAAGAGACCAAGACATGTCATTATACAAAAGAATTGCTAAAAAGATCAAAAAAGCTATTAGAATAGCTAAGGATACACATCTAAGAAGACAGTGTGCGGAAATACAGCAATTGCAACATAAACAAGATTAATTTAATATGCACAAAAAAGTTAAAGAAGTCGCAGGCTTATACAAACCTAGAAGAGTTGGATGTTTGGCAGATAATCAAGGCAAACCACTGTTAACTGTGGAAGAAAAACTAGACACTTGGAAGAATTATGTGGAAGTAAGTTTTGCAGATGAAAGGCAGAATACCATTGAAGACACTGAATGCCAAACATGACCCCCGATTACAATTGAAGAAGTCACGTCAGCTATTAAAAGAAATAAAAATGGTAAAGCAGTAGGGCCTGACAAGTTTTGTGCAGAATTCCTAAAACTTATGGATGAATAGGGAATAAAATGGATAACAACTGTATTCAACAACATATACGTATATGGAAAAATACCTAAAAGCTGGTTAAAGTCGACCTTCGTGACCATACCAAAAAAAGTAAATGCCAAGACATGCGAACAATTGCGACTACAGAACAATTAGCCTAATGAGCCACTTACGTAAAACGTTCTTGAAAGTGATACACGGCAGAATATATAAAAAATGCGAAGAACAAGTATCATGGACGCAGTTTGGATTTCGCGATTCCTTAGGCAAAGGAGAAGCTCTATTCGCTGTCCAAGTGCTTATGCAAAGATGCAGGGATGTTAACTGTGATGTGTATACTTGTTTTATCGACTAAAAAAAGGCATTTGATAGAGTAAAGCACAATAAACTTATAAACATCTTGAAAGAAGTGGGGTTAGATGATAGGGACTTGAGAATCATCTATAATTTATATTACAACCAAACAGCCAATATTAAAGTGGATGACCAATTGACAGAGGCAGTCTCCATAGATACAGGAGTGAGGCAAGGATGCATTCTGTCACCGGTGTTATTTAATATATACTCTGAATATATCTTTGAGAAAGCGCTAGGAAGGCGAACTACAAGAAGGCGTATTAGTCAACGGAATGGATCTAAACAACATTAGATATGCCGACGACGCAATAGTTTTTGCAGATAGTCTGGACGGTTTGCAAGAATAATGTCGCGTATATAAGATATAAGTAGAGAACAAGGACTTGATTGTAATACGAAGAAAACATAGTACATGGTAGTCAGTAAACGCTAAATATTAAATACACAGCTTTTGGTTAACTAACATTAAAATTGACAGAGTGGACAGCTACACATACCTCGGTACCGACATTAACAGCCAATGGGATCACTCCAGTGAAATAAAACAACGCATAGGAAAAGCGAGATCAGCATTCATAATGATGAAGTCTCTTTTCAGAAGTCACGATTTACCACTTGCTACCAAAATCTCTCTCATTAGATGCTATGTATTTTCTACCTTATTATACGGAGTAGAGGCCTGGAGACTTTCCAAAGTTTCCTTAAGATAACTCGAGGCACTCGAGATGTGCTGTTACAGACGTATTTTAAGAATTTCATGGGTGGATCGTGTGACTAATGTTGAAGTCCTACGTAGAATAGGCAAGGAATGCGAGATTATTAACACCATCAAAGAGCGCAAACTAGAATATATTGGCCATGATATGAGGAATGAAAAGA